CACTGGGTTAATGGCAATTTACATACTACTTTACATGATAAAAAGTTCAAATTTCAGTTGGCCCTAGCAAAAATACGACAAGGATTCTTTGTGTGGAAAGTATTTCCCATGACGCTGGAACAGAAGTTAATTTTTTAGCATCTAGCACATGGCCTACTGTACATGGAGAGCTGCTTTTTCACTATTTCTGACAGAAAAGTGAATTTGAGAGGACCACCCTCACTCAGCTCAAAGCATCAAATAGTGATTCACAGGGCTCAAGTATGCAAAAGATAACATGTTTTTTCCAAATGATTCAATGCAAAAATAATACAGATATTTGTATATACTTTCTAGATTGTAGACAGTATTCATGGGTGTAACTAGTTTAAAACCCACTATTTCAATGTGATCAAAATAAACAGGCCACATAAACCTAAATTAATATTTATTATAGACAAACAAACAAATACATTCCATCTCTGTTAAATGCTGTGATTATGATAAACACATGTTTTATTATGTATTACATATCACTAATATATTTAGTGTTAGTTCTATTAATATTATAATTAAAACTGTAAACTATAAATCCATGCATGTTTGTTAATGTAATATCATAACAGCAGCCCAAATTATCTCTTGAGCTATAACCTGGTACGATGCATCTTTCCCTTTGAGGTTAATGTTTGCACTGTCCCTGTCACTTTGAATGAATAAACTAAACTTAATAACATTGCTCTGCTCCGTTATCAGCAGAGGGCAGCATTTAGACATGTTGATAAAGCTACATACAGTACATGTGCAGAGTTTTTCTCTCTCTCTGTAGATGAAGCCAGCTTTAAAAATAGATAAAGAAACTGATAAAGAATCAGTTTGTGAAGAAAGGAATACAATTTTAAAAAGTAGAGTGGTATAAATAATAACAATGCATTTGTTTTATACAGTGCTTTTCTGGATGCTCGAAGTATCTTCACATGTCATTATTCTTTCACTCCAAAGTGTGAAGTGTTGATAAACTACTGCTGTAGCCACAGCTGCCCTGGGGCACACGGACAGAATCGAGGCAACCAGTCTGTGCCATTGGCCCCTCCCACCACCAACCATTCACACACACACCAGTGGGTGAAATGTCTTGCCCAGGAACACAACAACAGTTCGTCTCTTTAGAGCCACAGTCGCCCCACTGTGGCACCTGGTGTTCCCAGAGGTCTCCCATCCCAGTACTAACAGGCCCTCCGTATACATGGAAAATATAATCATCTAAAAGTGAAAAGTGAAGACCTTCCAGTTGTTTTTAGAGCCATCCACGCTAATATCAAAAACTCCTGGCACAGACATGTAGCTCCGCCCCCTTCTTTCTGAAATTAGACAATGGACCAGCAACAAGGGGAGAGGAGGGTCGGCACTAGATCATATACGGAATCGGGACGAAACCGGAAGCAACACTCGTACTTTCGAATTAGTTTTAGACTAATAATAAGTCCTTAAATGGTGACTGGTTAAGTTTTAGGTGTCTGAGTAAGATGGTTAAGGTTAGGGTTACGGGTGGGTTGGGGTTATTTTATGGGAATGGCTGGTTAAGTTTAGGCATGAATAGGTAGTTTGCTATATTTTCTTCCGCTTCCGTCCCGATTCCGTACATGATCTAGTGCTGACCGGGAGAGGAGCACAGGTACATACAGACTCAGAGAGACAGGTGAGACACAAGAGGGCGGGGCACACAATCAACTTAAACACAACCACAGGGGAACTTAAATAAAACATAAACTCACCATAACTCATAGTCTCATTGTCATTTATGATTTATTTATTGTATGATATTTCTGTTCTGATAATCCACTAGTCACTTTACCTGCTGATATTGTTACTATTGTTTATTCTGGTCATAGTCTGCTGACTACAGTGTATTCTCCACTCGTGTAGTATCTTTGAACCCAAGTGATATTTCTCATGTCAAGTCATCATTAAATGGACCTAATAGGTCAAAAGGCATTGATAAATCATGCTCGAGAGACGAGATATTAGAATTTAAAAATTGGTCCCCTGAATCTTGTTATTGTTTTCATTTCGATGTCCCGCCCTCCACCGTTTCACCAATCAGAAAGTCTGTGATCTGGGTTTCCAGAATTCACTGCATCGAGCTAATCTCACTGGTAAAGCAAGATGTGACTGCAGAACAAAAAAAAGGTCTCGTTATGATTCTTAAATCATTAATAGCAAAACAAGGAATAAAACGAGGATTTATTTTGGGGCCTTTGTGAAAAAGGTGTTGGTTATAGATTTGTTGTTGACAAACTCTTGTATGCATATCTCGTCTGCATATCAGGCAACCTTAGTCAGGGAGCGTGTGAGAGGCTTCAGTAACACTTTTGCCCATATTTTTACATACAGCTCCTTTAATTAATCCTGTTTTAATGTGTGCATTCTGAGTCTCTTATTTATTTTATTCTTTCGTCTTTTATTCAGAGCCTTTTATTCTGCTGTAATATGGAACATTGACATTTCACTCTGGGACAAATAAAGGATTATCTTATCTTATAAAGGCTTTTAAAGTAAATGATAGTTTCCCTGGTTTGGCCGCTCCACTATCCTGCTGTAGAAGAAGAGTCCGTCTGTAGGAGCAGGACTCTGAGGTCTGTCTGGACTTGTCCTGGTTCAGGTCTGACGGCTCCACACCTGGGAGTCCGTGTGAGTCTGTGGGAGACCTCTACACACCTGCAGAGGGGCGGGGCTGTCACTCACATCATCCAAATATGGACGTTTTGATTAAAGCTGGGGTACCTAACTTTCAAACCACATCATTTTCTGTTTTCTGGTCAGATACAAGACCCTTTTTGTTACAATGTGTCGTCATAATGTTAAGTCTCACATCGTCTTTGTCAGTACTCTTTAGTCTCTCATTGGTCTCTCTTTCTGTGATCTCTTTATGGTCTTGGTGGTCTTTCTGGTTTCTCTCTTGTGGTCTCTAGTCTTTTCTCTCTCTGGTCTCTCTCTGGTCTCTCTCTGGTCTCTCTAGAAGAGGTGACAATATTCAAAAACATATGCCTGATGTTGCCCCGTAGAAAGGACTTTAACAGATCAGCTTTGTGAATCACTGTTAAAACATCAGAACAAACAACAGGACACTATCTTCTTTAACATTTGTTTAAAAAGTCTTCCTTCCCAAAGAGTTTTATTTGCACTTGAAAAACTGAAATACAACTCTATTCTCATGGATCTCTCTCTCCCTCGCTCACTCTCACTCTCCCTCTCCCTCCCTCCGTCTCTCTCCCTCCCTCTCTCACCCTCGCCCGTCCCTCTCTTTCTCTCTCCCTCTTCCTCTCTCTCTCTTTGTCTCTCTGCCTCTCTCTCTCTTATCTGTGTCAGGTCCTGTTCTGTCCCCTATGCACAGTTTGTTTGAGTCCAAATACATGTAGATCCATACTGAGGCCAGGTCTCAGGTCCTCATCCAACCCAGAGACAGAGCCCTCAGTCTGGGGCGATGACCTGCATGTGTGTGTGTGTGTGTCTGTGCATGTGTGTGTGTGTGTGTCGATGTATATGTTTGTGAGCCCAGGGGAACCAGGGACAGCAGAGGACAGATCAGGACAAGAATACTTTGTTTTGGTCATAATCTAACGCTCTCTTCTCCCCTCTTCTCTGGCATTGTTTAAGTGACATCAGGTACTTTTTAAAGCTGGGGTACCTAACTAATTGAACCATGTAAAAAACCTTTAAATAGTTCCCCACTCTAGTGTTCACATGCATGTATGTTTAGTGTCTGTCTCATCTTAACATCAGCTTTTTCAGACGACAAAGTGAAAAAATAGCCTCAGCTTTCAGCCCAAAGAGTCAAATAGTGACTCACAGGGCTCTCTCTTCAAGTATGAAAAACACAATATGTTTATAATACGACAAAGACAGCAGGTTGGGGTTTTACAAGGCTATTTTTGTTATGATAATTAAATCTTATTAGCAAACTTTATTTTGCATACTCGTAAAAGAAAGAGCCCTTTGAGTCACTATTTGATGCTTTGGACTGAGAGCGGATCGAAAGTTAGATACTCCAGGTTTGGGGAGAATCAAAGTCTCTAGCTTCTATTTGGACTCTCTTTGGTCTCTGTCTTGTCTGTCTTTCTCTGGTCTATCTCTCTGGTCTCCTCTCTTTCTGGTCTCTCTCTCTGGTCTATCTCTCTGGTCTCCTCTCTCTCTGGTCTATCTCTCTGGTCTCCTCTCTGTTTGGTCTCTCTCTCTGGTCTCCTCACTCTCTCTCTGGTCTCCTCTCGCTCTCTGGTCTTTTTCTGTGATCTCTCTCTGGTCATGCTGGTCTTTCTGGTCTCTATCTTTCTCTCTGATCTCTCTGGCCTCTCTTTTGTCTCTCTGGTATCTCTCTTTTGTCACTCTGGTCTCTTTCTCTGGTCTCTTACTGGTCTCTCTCTGATCTATCTCTCTGGTCTATCTCTCTGGTCTCCTCTCTCTCTCTGGTCTCTCTGGTGTCTTTCTCTGGTCTGTCTCAGGTCTCTCTCTCTGGTCGTTCTCTAGTCTCTCTCTCAGGTCTCTGGTCTCTCTCTCTGGTTTGTCTCTCAGGTCTCTGGTCTCTCTCCCAGGTCTGGTCTCTCTCTCAGGTCTCTGGTCTCCCCCCCTCTCTCCCCCTCTGTCTCTCAGACACTGTTGACTCAGTGCAGGCCTCCACAGTGTTCCTCTGGAGCGTGTGTGTACATGCACCGCTGTCGTTGCCCGTCTGTGTCCGGACTTGTCATAATTAGAATGCTCTATACCATTTTTTTTTGGGTTCCCATCAAGTCTCCCCCTCTCTCTCTCTCTCTCTCTCTCTCTCTCTCTCTCTCTCTCTCTCTCTCTCTCCCCCTCTTCACGCACACACACACACACACACACACACACACACCTTGATTGTTTGCAGAGCAGCAGGGTTCAAATCATTTCAAACCGTGGAGAAATGCTGCATCCACGTTGTGCCTTGTTTGGAGGAATCTAAAGGAGATTTGGTTTTGAACGTGTGAGATCACAGGCAGAGGAGGATGTACTACGTGAAGAAGAAGGTAAACACACTTTACATGTGGAATGGAAAACTTTGTTGTGTTAGATGTTGGGATTGTAGAAAATGCATTGGCAGATTTTGATCCGTATTAGCAAAAGTTTGGTCTCTCAGGTTTCTCTGTGGTCTCTCTCTGGTCTCTCCCCCTCTCTTTTTGGTGTAGAATAAAAACATTTCCGTTGCCTTGAATATGATAGAGCTTTGCATGGAGTGTCCAGGATTATTTAAAGTGGGGGTACGTAACTTTCAAATCACAAAAATTGTCTCTTAGTAAATTTAATCTATAGTTACTGTCACTGTCCTGTACATGCATGTATGTTTTGTATGCTTTGATTATTTTAACTTTTTTCAGACTTAGAAAATTGAAAAAGAGGCTGCGCTCACTCAGCCAATCAGCTCTCAGCCCAAAGAGTCAAAAAGTGACTCACAGGCCTCTTTCTAATATTCTCTTGATTGATCAATTTAGAAAAAAAAGCTTGTTGAAAAGAATAATTATCAAAATTTAAACGGATAGTCACTGGTAAAGACGTGCCTAAATCGCTTATAATTTTTTACATTAAAATGTTGAATATTCTTTCTAAAATTCTGTTTATTTATAGATTTTTGTATTGAGAAAGTGTATTGAAGAATGTAGAATGTCTTAATAATTCTTACTGTTGAGGGAGGTTGCACTTTGTTACTTTTTTGGTTGCAATCTAAAATACTTTGCACGTGTACTGTCACATATTATTGAGAGATTTCAATGAGGAGAATGCATTTTTTGTCCGGTATTACTCACCAAAAATGCATGTTAATCGCTCTTAAAATCTTGGCTAAACTTTCAAGTGAAATACAAGTGAGCTTTTACATGAAAATTGAATAAAATGTGTTTAAAAGCTTCTAATTCTGAGTTCATCCATGTGCGGCTCAAGTCAATTTCCCTCAATTTCAACTTCAAGAAGATGATTTGCCCAAAACGGATCCGAGAATCATTGTCCTCAGACCTTCCTGCCTTGGCAAGAATTTAATCATTAAACATATCAGACATTAAATATGCACAAAAAACTAAAACGCATGTACAGATGTATAGATCCATTCATATTGATAGAATATACATAATGTTATACTTGCTTCTTTATTATGCTAAAGTTAGCAAATATATTTTAGTGTTTAGAGTGTTCTTGTGCTGTGTGCTCCTCATTTCCACTGTTCTGTAACTGCCGATTCCCCACTGTGGGGCGAATAAAGGATTTCTTCTTACGACTCATAAGCTCCTTCTCCCTGGTTCCTACAGCTGCCACTGTCACTGGTGTACATTGTTCACAAAAATCTCTGACATGCTAATGATTCAGTGGCTTTTTGGTTTGAATAGCAAGACTTATCACCAGGGCTGGGAACCTCAGGGTACCTCACGATACGATACGCGATACAAAGCTCACGATAACGATTATATCATAACGATTATTTCACGATATGACGATTATTGATATATTGGTCAGAAATATGCCATATGCAAATTAATGGCATAAATAAAAGAAAGATGTTAAGTGAAAAAATACACTTTATTTCATGATAAATGGAATGGAGATGTGTAATGTAGTCATATATTGAGTATTGATACTAATTTAAAAAAAAAAAATACATTGAAAAAGAAATATCGATGCATAATATCGATAATTGATCGCAGGAGAAGGTATCACGATGTATTGTTATATCGATATATCGTCACACTCCTACTTATCACATTGTGCTTTGCATTCAGACTAATGCTAACTGTTACCAGCATGCTAACAGGACCCTCATTGGAGGATGTTTATCGAGTTATGGCTGTATGTAGTGTATTGTTATTGTTGTGGTGGAAGCTGAAGGTGTTGAGGGGACAATGGGGAGGAGGCGGGTTGTGATTAGAGCTGAAATCTGAGTAAAGGCTGCCAAATTCATTATTGAAAGTTTTTTTTTAATGGTACATATTTAGATACATAAATATATTTTTTGATGAAAAGTATATCAATTTAGTTTTTAGTTCTTTATTTACTATTGAGAATATTGATTGATATTTAGATATTTATGGAAGGAACTACACTACCCACATGAGTCTCCTCCCCAGGTGGCTGGTCTCTCCCTTTGAGATAGAGGAGCTCAGTCACACGAGAGGAGCTCGGAGTAAAGCCGCTGCTGGAGCCAGTGGAGGTGGCTCATCTGTGTCTCAGCTGGGAATGCCTCAGGATTCCCCCAGATGACCTGGAGAAAGTGTGTGTGAGGAGGGAAGTCTGTGTCTCTGCTCAGACCGCTGCTGCCTCTGTGACACGGCAACGGATAGCCAGAGACGTCCCTTGCCGTTAGGCCTGGGGCCCCCAAACCAGCAGGGGGCCCCCAAGGGCCAACTGATTTGACATAAGCAGTTGACTTGTACAGGCTACAATAGCTACCTGCAGTAACGAGTTGGCGGATAAAAACTTCTCGTCTCATGCAAAACTTGCCACGCTCTTCTGTAATGGGGGGAGTTGTTTTATTGCAGAGGAGGAAAGGGGGGGAGTGAAAGGGCTGAATTATCTGGTTATGGAGAATGAGAGCGATGGTGGTGTTCCCAAAAAGAGACAAAACTTCTATTAAAATTACAGTATTTATTAAATAAGAATACAAGAATAAAAGTTCTCTAAAAAGTCCTTTGTTAAAACCCAGAAACCTCTGGTGTGGAGGCTCCGTGGGGATTTGCCCCAATGGCTGAGACCGAAGAGGGCCAGAGGCAGCTCGACGGCGCTAGTCCCCAGTGCGTATGGCGCTCACCGCTCTGGACCATGGGTTGGGGCTGGGGGGAGAGAGCACACCGACAGAGCACAGCACACGTATATAAAGCCAAAGGCTATTGGTTAACGCGTCTTGGACCGCTACTTACGGCGCAGGCGGGGTATGAGCCCCGCCGCTGCGTGTAGGTCGCTTCGAGGTACGTCGCTTCGTGGTACGTCTCCTTGGTGCTTGACGGGACCCGCTCGTGGTTTAAAAGCACAGCAAACACACACATCAATACAAAATAAACAAAAAAACCACAGTGCCGGCTTACACTTCATTAACAGTTAAAAACCCTGCAATTTTGTACGAACAATGACATAGAAATAAAGTACAGATAGAAAAAAAGAATTTCTCTTCCAAAACAAAAAGAATGTGACGGGGCACAGTCTTTTTGCTAAGGCGGTTGCTAAGGCGGTTGCTAAGGCAAGCTGGAGTTCCCCACATGAATGAAGGCTACTCATATCTGGATTTAACAAAGACTGTATCAAAATATAAACCCCAGGATCACAGAGAGCTCGAAACCGTAGCTTGTTTTCAGCTCCAAATGGTGAGATTAGAGAACCTTTATTTGTCACACACTGGGTACATTTCAGTGTTGCAGCGCAGACAGAACAGACGTAAGAACACTGTGTCAGAGCATATCAACGGTTACTGAGTTTATTTTTACATGCGAGTCAATAGGAGCCTGAGAGAGATGGACAAAAAACTTTCACCATGAGCACTCCCACTTTTGACGGGTCCCATTCAAATCAATGCAATTGCCAAAAAACAGTTTTAGTGTTAAAGGTTAGGTTTTTACATTTAATGAGTGCTAAATCTGGTGAATATAACTTGAAATACAGAAAAACTAATTCTATAGTAACTATATAACAAAAAAAAAGTTATATAGATCAAAAACTTATTTATCTTCCAAAACAAAAAGACTGGTGCAGACTTGTGTGTCGTTGCTAGTGTGTGTCAGCTGCTGTTGTGTGTTGCTGCTGGTGTGTGTCTCCTTCACGGTCGAGTTTGTGCGACAGAAGGAAATCCTGTCAGTCCAAACCTCAGCTTCACAGAGAAGCTGGAAAATTGTTCCTTAGGTCAAGCACATGTCTGCCTTAAAACAACATTTGCCAATGGGACAAAGCAACATCATCCTGGCTCCCTCTCTCTGGTCTCTTTCTAGTCTCTTTCTGGTCCCTCTCTGTTCTCTCTGGTCTCTCTCTGTTCTCGCTCTGTTCTCTCTGGTCTCTCTCTGGTCTCTCTCTGATCCCTGTCTCTTTCTGGTTTCTCTCTAGTCTCTCTCTCGTCTCTCTTTCACCACATTCTGATGACCTTAAAACAAGATTTGCCAATGGGACAAAGCCAAATTATCTTTAGAATTGTTGAAATAAGACTACATTTATTTGTACCAATGAGCTCAAATTAACTTGATTTAATCATTTATTACCTCATATGTTATCACTTTTTGTAGTGTTGTAACCCAATCCTCTTTGAAAGCCGCTCTTAAGCCCCTATCGTTACCTGCCCACTCCTCCCTCCTCACCTCTCCTCCCCTCCTCCTCCTCCTCCCCCCCTCCTCCTCCTCCTCCTCTCTCTCTGCAGTCCCAGTACAACCTCCTGAGCAGCAGCATGGAGAGCCTGGGCAGCCGTGGAGCCTCATCCAGCCCGGTCCCCACACCGTCCCCGTACTCCCAGCCTAACTCCACCTTCGAGGGCCTGTCTCCGGCTCCGGCCATCCCCTCCAACGCAGACTATCCGGGGCCCCACGCCTTCCAGGTGTCCTTCCAACAGTCCAGCACGGCCAAGTCTGCAACCTGGACGGTGAGTGTTTGGCTTTTTAGTGTTTTGGATTCACTTTAGTTACAGAAACATAGATTACAATACAATGCACTAGAAAATACAGTGTTTTAAACAGTTTGCTTCTTCATAATGCTAAAGTTACAGATTTTATTCTATTTTTGTATATAGTTATTGTTCACTACTATTGTGCTCCTCATTCCAGATTTTATTCTATTTTTGTATATAGTTATTGTTCACTACTATTGTGCTCCTCATTCCTACTGGTCTGTAACTGGAGATGCAACACTGGAATTTCCCCACTGTGGGACGAATTAGTATATCTCAATACAGTGACATTGTTTCTGTATTTTTTTGATTGTTTTGTTTATGTACTTGTCTGGTGCACACTGGGGACTCTTGCACATTATTCCAAAGTGGTTTTACTGCAAATGGTAAATAAACTGAATCTCCTTCACTCAAAAATTACAAGTGGTTCTCCGGAAATAAGAATATTGTTCAAAATTGTTGTATTTTTGTAATTCAACTCAACATTTCTGAAATTGACTTTGGGTTTTTACTATAATAGAACATTGCTTCTCATCATTGACGGATCTGGAGACGTTTTTTAGAACCATCCACGCTAATGTGAAGAATTTGTATTGTAACTCCACCCTTTCTGTCTAGACACGGCACATTTATTTGCATGGCACAGTTCAACAAGATCAAAACAATCACTCAAGGCATTTAAATAATCAATTAATCTTAAAAAGAGTAAAGATAAAATCCTTCAGTTATGGCAGATAAACAGAACTGTTCTTAACCTGTATTTAAACATTGTGAAGAAGCCTGTCTCACATTTTCAGGAAGACTGTTCCAGATTTTAGCATGTTTAGTTCTGACTCCGGGCACCAGCAGGAGGCCAGTCCCTGTGCTCCTCAGAGTCCCAGTTGTTAAATATGACACACACAACTTACAACATGAAACTACAATCCATCCAGTTCATCTTCAACTATAGCTCCAGAGTTTGTTCTCTGTTATGTAGAGCAGCAGATTCTCCTGGACCAGAGCTGCAGAGTTGATCTGAGGCGTTGGTTCATTCATTTAGGTGGAAAATTAAAGCTAGTTTGAAAATTGAAAATCAGAATCAGAATCATTTTTATTGCCACGTAAGTAACAAAGTTACCACTTGGAAATTGTTTTGGCAGAGAGCGTGCCACTTCGCCATTTGCGGCGCTGTGTGCAGCAAGAAACAGCAGAGAGCAATAACATACAGTTCACAGACACATTGTGCTTTGTATAAACCACTGATTTTTTTCTCGGGATGAGCACCTCCGACTGCCGGCCCAATGTGGCTGTCAGAGGGGGGCGGGGTCAATCAAAATGTGATTGTTGTGGAAACAATTAGAAGATGACAAAGACTACATTTTTAATCCTTAATGAACGAAAGGAGAGCCAAACACTTAGATTTGGGATCATTTCTCTTGGTTTGAGTTTATTAGGAAGCTGTGTCAATGGAACATGTATTTTTGTCGTTGTTTTTTTCTTTAGATTCCAATTCTTTGTCATCGTGGACTGTATATGAATGTGGTGCAGGACTTTATTGACAATTGATCAAATATCCAAGGAGTTTGCTTTTCTATTCTATTGTTTCATTTTGATATTTGAATTTTTTTATTGCATCTACAATTCTACAAGTTACTAGTCTTTTTGAGCAGGACAGATGTAGGGCCCTGAAGTAACTTTATAAATTACACATTTATTACAGTTAGTGCTGATTCTACAATTACTGTTTTTTATTAGCAGTCATAGTAACAGCTAGGGTTGCCACCTTGAGACCAGAAAAATAAGGGGCACCATTTGGGTGGATCGGGTTGAGCACTTTTCAGTCCTAATTTCAATCTATACAGTAATCATGGAATTTCATAATCACAATTTTTAGAATATAATTTACTATAGTTTTACTACATATAAAAAACAAATCCGTAGTCAAAAATTTAATTTAATAAATAGTTGGAACTCTTTGGCTGGTTAGTCATAAAAAATATATAAAAAGAGACAAATGCTGTAACATACATTATGTACTAATATATTAGTTATGATTCTCATAACTTCAGTCCAGAGGGGGCGGTAGCTTCCTTTTCCAACACGAGAGGTCTGAACATGCAGACAGCTCCATACAGAGCCGCAGACGCCCTGGGGCAGACTGACTGAGGCAAGGCTGCCCCTCCATCATTCATATGAGGCATTGTGGGTGAAGTGTCTTAGGGTTGGAGGGCTGTGTTAGAGGAGCTTGTGATGTCACCACAGCAAAGACATACAGTAAGTTTGTACAGCACAGTTTATACACAAGAAAACTCAGAGTGCTGCTGAAAAACAGTCATACAGGAAATAAAATAAATAATCACAGTTCATTAAAAAATAGTGAAGATACATTCCTTCAGTTGTTGCAGATAAAACAGAACCGTTTTTTAACCTGGATTTGAACATCGTCAGAGAAGAAGTCTGTCTCCCAGTTTTTAGAAGACTGTTCCAGATTAGTTTAATAATTAGATAATATAAGCAAAAAAAAATTGTATCTGTCCCACAGTGGGGATTTTTCAGACTCAGCAGATTTCAGATAGTAAGTAGTAATGTTTATTTATATAGCGCATTACAATGTTCAGAGTGCAGATATTGTTCCAATCGTTCTATACACGGTGATGACGTAAGCGTATCTATCTACCCATCTATCTATCTTTCTATCTAGGTAAATCTATTCTATTCTATTCTTCAGTTTTTTAATCTAGTGGAAAGCTGAAAATCTTTTGTGGGAAATTTCTGAATAACTCCATTGGTTTGGATTGGAGCAGTAAAAATGACAGCTCTAGGAGTCCTGCTGTCGATCACAAAAAAATTGGAACATTTCACCTTTTAGAGTGTGTCTTGGTGACAACACTCTGGTCTGTTGGCGTAATGGGTGAAACGTGATCCGGCTGGCGGGCAGTGACCCGCACAGTGGCCTGGGACGCGGCTCCCACTGGGTCTCGCACAGATGACCTCCACAGAACAAGAGGCCGAGCTGCGCCTCCTGCAGCCGCGACATCCATCAGAGTCTGAGTCTGAGCAGTTTGTAAGAGGATCCTGGAGCTGGACCTTAGGAGCCTTTGTCTGTGGTGTTGTTGTGGATCAGGAGGCTCTCAGGGACTTCACCTCCTGTGTCGACAGGTGAAGGATTCATGTCTCAGCTTCAGGGTTTTAGAAGCTTCAAAACATCCACTAATGCACCCAGCTGCCAAAGTGACAAGAATCCACAGCCTCAGTCTTGGATCTACGGCCTCAGTCTTGGATCTTCAGCCTCAGTCCAGGATCTACAGCCTCAGTCCTGGATCTACAGCCTCAGTCCTGGATCTACAGCCTCTGTCTTGGATCTTCAGCCTCAGTCCTGGATCTACAGCCTTAGACCTGGATGTACAGAGGATCCCTCACTCAATATGGGCCTCCCCAAGGTTTTTTCCCCCCAGTTCCCACTGATTCTCCAACAACAGATCAGAGAATCAAACAGTTCAAACACAGGAAATACATATGAGTCATTGGTCCATAGGAAGCGACATGACCAATGTTAATAAATGACTGTCCCAGGACTTAGGTTCTGCATTTGACCCATCCTATGAAACCACTCGGGCTGGAGGATTTTACCTATTGCACATATTTTGAATGGTCGGGGTAACCAGAAGAAACTACACAGACATGGGCAGAACATGCAAACTCCTTTTAGCAGGGCCCAGTCTGGAGGTGGAATCGAACCCGGGACCTTCTTGCTGCTAACCTCGCAAACGTCACATCAGATCCAGGTGCAGCCTGAGATTCAAACCTTCTCATATGGGTTTGCTACTTCTATTTCCCACCAGAGATATGCATTTTTGGACGCTATTCCTGAAAACGTTTTGAATTGTCTTGTCTGAACTCGCTGGAGCCGGTGCTTAAACCAGTACCAGTACTTGTTTGGGCAAAAACCACACGTTATGTCAGTACAAGGCAAATTTCTAATCGCTGGAGGAGACACCATACCACCATTGTCAAATTCATAATGATAGATTCACCTGATGTTTGAAATTAAACATAGCATAGTTCTGTCTTGTACTGATAAGCTACGACACCTATATTTAGTGCATTTGGAATCTCAATATTGATCTAACACAAGGTTAAAAGTTACACATTTTACCACATTAAAAGTGTATATTTATGTACAAGACAAAAATGACACCATATGATGCTACACCAAGCTCACAGATGGGGTTTGACATTACAAAAAACAAAGTAGGGTTAGGGTTATAGAAAGATGAGATTTACCTTTTGTTTTCACTCCTGCTGTGCTCTTCCGCTTTCTGCGATGTCAGACGCTCTGCAGAGTCTCGGTATATATCAAACATAGGATTAAAGGACCATTGGGTAATACTAAATATTCAGAAATAATTCAGTTGCACGTTCAAGGCCTGTAACCAAGACAAAGGTTCTAGATCCAGGACTGAGGCCGAAGATCCATCACTGAGGCTGTATAACCAGGACTGAGGCTGTAGATCCAGGACTGAGGCTGAAGATCCAGGACTGAAGCTGTAGATCCAGGACTGAGGCTGTAGATCCAGGACTGAGGCTGTAGATCCAGGACTGAGACTGAAGATCCAGGACTGAGGCTGTAGATCCAGGAATGAGGCTGTAGATCCAGGACTGAGACTGAAGATCCAGGACTGAGACTGAAGATCCAGGACTGAGGCTTTAAATTAAGAACTGAGTCTGAGGCATTTTTTTGAGGCACCATGAATATCTATTATTTGAATGACTTTTAATGTTTCTTTTCATGTTTTGTTAAGCACTTTATTGCCTTTGGTATGGATTGTCCCATACAAACTTGCCATACCATTAAAACATGTATTATTAACTCCCTTACCTGCTCAAAAAAAGAGATTCCAACTCCTCAGTGGACTTTCCTGCTTGGATAAAGATTAATATATGAATACAATTGTTCTGTTGAAAGAGTCAGAGATGGAAAAACATGTTCTCATCGG